ATATGGATTTTGATGTAATCTTCGAATGTAAATACGATTTGTAATCCAATTGCATGGACGGTATTTTCTTCTTTAATATAGTTTTAACTAGGTGTTTTGTTTGTACATACGGAACATAATTTTCTTAGGAATATTTATTAGTTTATATCTTATTAATTCAAAAATAAAAATAATATTATTTATGTTCCTATTAAGTTTAAAGCAAATATCAAATTATTTATATATGACAAAAAAAATCATCAATATATATATATATATGTGTGTGTGTGTGTGTGTGTGTGTGTGTGTGTGTGTGTGTGTGTGTGTGTGTATTATTGTGTTAAATTTTTTAAAACACTCACATATAATATTTTAGAAAATCACTTTATACAAATGTTTTTACTTGATTAATATTTAATTTTTATAATAGAAAATATTATTTCTAGATAACAACACAATATATATAAGAATTATCTTACTTTTTAGAAATATGTTTTAGATTATGCAGTTTTCTTATATTAACTTATAAGTAATTATCTAATATAACATATAAAATCTAATATTATTAATATGAAATTCGTTTTTACTATCTAACTAGGTGATTTTCCTGTGCTCATGCACGTGATTAAATATTTAAGAAATAAAATATATTATATTAGTTGATTGATATTTACTTTAAATTTTATATTAATTTATAGTTTGTATGTATAATTTGTATTAATAATATTATATATTTTAGTTATTATAATTTTATATATATTATATTTAGTCAGTATTATCATTTGGATATGTATATATATATATATATATATATATATATATATACATTGGATTCTTTCTATTCTATGAATTCAACTATAATCTTTTTTACTCTAAATATCTTAAATTTTTGATTAAATATTTTATTTACATTTATGTTGGTTGTTATCTACGAAATATAAGTATATCTTAGTAAGATTATGTATTTTAAGATTTTTTGTGCTTAGAACGAAAAAATTAAAAACTAAAGTGTCTGATTCTAAATTACATAAGTAATAATAAATTTTTGAAAGCTTATGAACAAATATCAATATTTACAATAATTAAAATATTTTATAAACTGTAAATAATTTATGCCATAGATTGATTGGATGATAAACTGAATTTTTTTAAAATAATTTTTAAAATAAGGAATTCTGATTTGCTTTAAGTATTAGATTATGGTTATATTAAATTCCACAAACATAAAAACAGAAAATTAAACATCAAAAGAGTTATTAAGAAAACAAATAATTTTAACTATTAATTATAATATATCTACCTTGTTAAATTATAGTGTTATGATATATTAAAAGAATTGTAGTTATTTGATCAAAAGATGTTTATTATTAAATTTATTTTTAGTTTTGTTTTTAACATATTAAAATATGCAGTAAAAATGTGATTTTTGGAGAAATTATATTATATAAGTTAATTATAATTTATATTTTTTGCTGTAACTGTAAGATATTATAATCAAATAAATATACTAAAAAAATATTTCAGTAATACTAATTATATTTTTTTGTCAATTAAACATATATCAGTTTATGTTACTTAATTATTTTATGTAATATTCTAATAAAATAGATAGATATATCAAAAATAATTAATTTGAAAATATATATTTTATTTTTTAAATTATTTTTAAAGAAAAATATTTCTTTTCTAATATCAAGATTATTTGTATGAACTTTTTTAATGAAAACACATTATATACAAATATTGTTTCATCTAAGAAGATATAAATATAAAGTATTTTATTACTTAAAAGTATAATTTATGTTATTTAAAAATATATTTAAGCTAAATATTACTATTTTGTAAACTTTTCTTTTTTATGAAACCATAATATATATATATATACTTATTTTTCGTTTTAAATAATTTTGTAAATTTTATAAATATTTCCTTTTTATTTTATATTGTTATTTGGAAGATTTTAAAAAGGAAATAATAATATTTAAATATATTTTTAATTCATTAGGGGTATCATAGTAATCAACCAGCGTGAAAGTTAACGTGGGCGCGACACCTAAGAAAGTGACTTCTCAAATAATATTATAGAGATAAATTAGATATAAAAATTTATTAAGCATAAAAATGATATTAACCAGTCTAATTTTTAACGTGAGAGTTATGTTGCAAAAAATCACTTCACAGAATAATAGTATAGATATTATTCATATTATGTTCATGTTTATGTCTTCGCAACACAAATATCTATGATTCAAGATGTTATTTTTCTATGTAGATTTGGATCGGGTCATAAAAACAACCTTTCTGTCGGCTAGAACATGATCTTATTGTATGGGTAGTGTAAAAAGTTATTTTAACAAATTTGATAGAGATTTTGTTTTTTGGAAACATCAGGGGAAGTCGGAAAAAGGCGATTGTTTCCGGATGGTGAGATGAGATTGGTACAGTCGTTGACCTTAAGATTTAACGAATGGTGGAGGTTTCAGATCAAGAATTTAACAAAAATCTCCAGCGTAGAGAAGGTGGTGGCGTTTAAGAAATATCAGTGTTTTCGGATCATCTGAAGAGAACTCTAAGTCTAGTTAATCCTTGCTCGCCGAGAACTAGATTAGCTGTATATATAAGGTGTAACTCTGAGGGAATCAAAACGGTTGTCTGACTTGCAGTAAAGAAGGGAGATTTATGAGTTGGAATTGTGGGTTGCACACTGTTAGCTGAAAACAGTAGATGAAGTGGATGAGTCGACTTTAGGTGGTGATAGATTTACAAGAAATTGTATTCAATAACCAAATAAAATCTCAAAATTAACTAATTAACCAAATTCACATGATCTCTTCTCTTTTCTTTTTCTATCTCTCTTTATTTATTTTTACAACACTATTCTTGACTATTTCACAAATAAGTTCCAGATTTAAATGGAGAGAAAAATAAGTTAAAACTGATGTGACACTTCAACTGGTTCTGAATGCTTTTGCTGATATGTCTAGCCTAGGAATCTTTCAATTTAGTTTCTTTTATAAAAAAAGATATTTGTTAACTTTAGAGTAATCTCAAAGGTCTTAAACCTCATATTGAATATCCAAGTTATAAATTAATATTATTATATGTTGTTTTTAGTAATGAATTAATTTTAAATTTAAGAAAAAGACATGTGATCAATACCTTGACAACTGTTTTATTTGGTTACTAAAGAGGTCTCAGAGGTTGGAAAATGAGAAATGGCATTAGACACTTTTTTCTACTCTACTATTTGTTTATTGTTATATTTTTATGATACTCTATTTAAAATCTCATGGTTGGAGGTGTTCTTAAGGCATCAACAATGCTGTCTTTACTTCGTATCTTAAGGAGGGCGGGGGCCACATAAACTTAAAAACGGGTTTCTGCAACACCCAAACAAGAGACATTTTCGATGGGTTTGTTGCACTATTCGCGGACCCTATTGATACATGGTTTCTTTTTAATTTTTTTAGAGACAAAAAGTAAAAAAAAAAAACAATTAAGAAACCCTTTAGTGGGATAAAGATGGCCTTATGTGTTGCCCCAAAAAAAAATGGCCTTATGTTGTAGATTCTCTGCCTTGCTTGTAAATTGTAACGTCTATATGAGAAATGTCTTGTGCTACGTATATTAATGGCCATAAGTAAATATAGTTAACAAAAATAAATAAGACCAACGGTTTCGGTTTTTAATCTGGAGTGACACTTCATTGTTTCAGACAATATGCAGTTGAAAACTTACAATTACAGTTATCTTACATCCGACACATCAAAATGGATACATAAATTTGCAGAAGTGTCTAAGAACATCTTGCTGTTTATATACTAAAAAAAACGATACACAGTTTTGTTCTTACTTTAGTCTAGACCTCCACTCCATGATGGCTGTATACAGAGTATAGTTGGGCAGTAGGTCCTTGTTTTTTAAGGGTGTATCAGTCATCGGCGACGTGTCGTGCTTCTCAAACCATTCTCCTATCGCATGACGGTCATATGTGTATCCATCAGCTGCAACGCAAGGCTCGTTCATCACGTCCTGCATTGCATAGAACACGCTCATATTTTCATCACAACTTCACAGTAACTTTAAGCAATCTATACTATTAAAGCTGAAGTACAAAAAGTTAAGTGTTTGGAAACATGAATAAGAAATATTTTAAATTATGATGATTGGAAACAAGGATAGCTTACAAATCTAATGAGTTTATTTATTAAACTAAAGATTATTGCGGCCCAAAGTACTATTATTATTGTTTTTGAGTTTTCTATCATTGATATTACTTTACTTTTGAAAATTATTTATACATATATGTATTCATGTTTTAAATATATGTAGAATAAATAAAGAATAATATATATTTTATTTATATTGACTATTGTTATAAGTTTTTAACAGTGATATACTAGCCTTCCAATTCTTCATTAAAAAATTAACTTAACAATTTGACTAAATTATTTAGTGTATATCTTTGCACCAAATTTAGCCAAAAAAACTTTAATAAACTATTACTAAAATGTTTACGGGTCACAACATTTTACGACGCCCATGTTACACAATACAGTGATAAAATACAATATTTAAACAGTATACTATTACTTAATAAAATTGGAACCATTAAATAGTAATTTTAAAATGTTATATATACCATAAAAACAAAAACCCGTCCAGTCGGGCGGGTTATGATCTAGTTAAATGTTAAACCAGGAGCGTATAAACAATCTAGTGTTGGTTTCTATAATATTTTTTTACAAACTCAGGTATTTCTTTTTTTTTCCAGGTATTTCTTTCTATGTAACTTATTATGAAATTTTGAAAGCTATAGGCCTATGTTTCATGTAACTATGCTCTGGACCACCTTGGTTCAACCCTACTAGCATTCATACATAATCAGTTACTTGACTTGCAAGTAACCAATGACTTAAAGAACAAGGACTATATAGAGTTACCTTGAGTAAGGGGCAGAGGAAATGAGTTGGAGGCTGTGTCGGCACCCCGGAGACTGAATGTCTGGCCTTCTCAGCTACTCTTTTCATGCTCTCCAAGGCCGGAAGAATCTGATCTTTTAAATCAGGCCTATCTTTCCCGCGTAGCTCTGTGCAACACAAAGCCAATGCGGTTAACTCCCGGGTCTCTTCAACTGGCCAGTTACCCGCCTTCCAATCTAAGATCTTGAGAAACCCATCGTTACTATCCATTGCACTCTCAACAAAGTGTGTCAATGCCATAGGCGGTTTTGCTGTGAGAAGCTGAAGAAGTATTATTCCAAAGGAATATACATCTGACTTGGATGATATCCTTCCTGTGCGTTGATACTCAGGATCCATATAACTTAACGTCCCTACAGGGGTTGTTTGTTTGTATATGGTGAAATTAGTTGATAAATGGTCGACTTGAACCATCGTTGAGAGTCCAACGTCTCCGACTTTGCTAACAAGGTTGTGATCAAGTAAGATGTTTGCGGGTTTTAGATCACGGTGAATGATCGGTTTAGGCTTTGATTTGTGGAGGAAGACAAGAGCCGCTGCGACTTCCCAAGCGATCCTAACCCGCTCAAACCACGGGAGTGGCGGAGTGTTGTTGACCTGGAACAGTCTCTCTTCCAAGTTACCGTTTTCCATGTACTCATAAACTAAAACTCCTTGCTCTGGGCATGCTCCTAGAAGGAGAACCAAGTGTGGGTGCCGAATCTTACTCAAGATGTCAAGCTGCAAAGCACAGACCAGATAGATAAATGTAGGTACTTAGGAAAAAGAAGACATCTTCCATTTAGTATGGGAACCAATAGACATAGGCATATAAACCGATAACCAAAAACTAAACCAGAACCGAATATAAAAAAGTGAACCCAAATCGAATCGATGTTCATAATTATCTGAATGGTTATTATATCTTTGAAAAAAGAAAAGAAAAAAACAAAACCAAGAACTGAAGGGACAACCGAATATCCAAAATACATTTTATATTTACCTAAAAATATAAGTTATATTTAGTTTTAAAATTATCAAATATTCTAAAAGTACTACTTGTAAACCTAACTATGCGGAAACAGATTACCCAAATATTTGTAGTCCACATATTTATAATAACTTGTATTATCCGGATATTTTTTATTCAAAATATTTAAATTCATAAACATTATCCGCTATTTATCCACAAATCCAAAAGATCTTATTTTTACCCAAATTATTCAAAATTGTCCAGAAAACCAGAACCGAATTGGACCCAACATTTTATTGGATATTAGTCGAATCTTAGTAGTGTTATGCGAATCAAGTCGAGAACCGAAATAACTAAATCGAAGCCAAACTGAATTTTCTAAATAACCGAATGGTTCTTAATCTCTAAGCACCAAGACATAACCGAAATTTGAGCATAGTTCCATACCTCTTGTTGGAATTCTTTGGACAGGCGACTTTCAGGGGAATGCAAAACTTTGACAGCTGCAGTTGTATGATGCAGATTACACTTGTAAACAGCTCCACAAACTCCCATTCCGATCTTCATCTCGTCTGAGAAAGATGAAGTGGCAGCCACTATTTCTTCCCAAGTGAAGTGTTGATATTGCATCTGTGGAGTCCCAAGAGTGTCTTTAAGCTTCTCTTTCTCTTGGGCATCACGAGTGGCTTTCCTCTCAGCTTCTCTTCTCTGTGCAATTTCTTTCTCCACTTTTTCTCTCATGCTCTCTACATCCCGCCTCGCCTTTTCAAAATTCTGTTTTTCCTTTTCTGCTAACTCTCGAGCTTCGTACTCCTTTAGCTTTATCTCTTCAAGCTTTCTAGCTTCTTCTAACCGGCGTTGGTTAAGCACACCAAGCTGAAACAATTTTTAAAAATGCATTGAGCATAAACTTATAAGTTTCATCAAATGAAGGGAACATGTGAGACGCTTTCACCTTTCGAGAAGCATCAAATATTTCGGTTTGAGCAACAGCATACATTTCTTGAATGTGTCTAAGCTCAGCTTTCAACTTATCAACCTCAAAGCTTAGGTTTGCCTGAACAAATACACATCATTATTACAGTAGAACCTCTATAAATTACTACTCGATAATCTCTATAAATTAATAAATCGATAAAATAATAAGAAAATATTTTTTTAGAAAAATCTGTGTAAATATATGGTCCCATTAAAATTATAAATTAATAATTATATGTATACACATTTTATATAAGTAAGAACATATCATTAATTATACTGTATGTTTTATATTCATAATAGAATTCTCTTTGTATTTTCTTAACACTTATTATACTTTTGATGATATTTGGTAATATTATGTCTTAATCCACATTTAGATTCTATGCAATATATATTATATATACAAAATAATATAATAAAATTGATATAAATGTCAATTTTTTAAAAAAATAATAATTAATAATTATATAGCAATATTTTTCTTATTTTAGAATAATTTTTTTTTTAAACTAAATAAGGAAAGTTTTCTAAATTAATATCTCTATCAATTAATAAAAAGTTAAAGTCCCAACATTATTAATTTGTAGAGGTTTTACTGTAGTTCCATTTCACAAGACAGTAATCAAATTTAAAATTCCATTATAATACCTGGTTACTTGTAAAAGATGGTTCACTTATATTATCACTCATGCTGGAAGCTTGTTGAGAAATACGAGAGTGAGTGGCATTCCCATTTTCAGGGTTGCTAGAAGAAGAACTCATTCGGTATTTTCTCTCCTCATTATCTTTTAGCGGTGGAGCCGAAAGTGTTGTAGTATCCATGCTGTTTTTACTGATACTCGAAACATCCTTAGCTTCCTCTCCATCCAAATGCATGCACTTGGTTTCATCCAAGCCAGCAGAATTTGTTTCCACTCGAGCTGATGCTTGTCTGCCAAAAGTCGGTGATTGTTGCAATCTCCTCACCGGAAGAGATAGAGCACGAGACGGAGATTCACGTGCACTTGGAGTTCCATCAGTTGATTCTAGAAGACAAAATGGGGGTAGAACAATTATTAGACCTACACATGATTTCTGGTAGAGTATTATCACACAAATACATTGATGAGCAAGGACCTGAGATGGGACGGGAAGAACTGCTGGAGGAGTCAATTTTTCCACTACTATCATCTGTAAAATTTGTGTCCAAGTATCCTGGCCGGACGCTTGACAATTTTCCTTTTGAAACAACATAGACTGTACAAAAGTTTGGCATCACAGCCGATATGGCTGAGCACATATCAACTTTCCTGGAAGTTTTAGAGCAGAATCATTGGTAAAATACAATAGTAGTTTCAAAGCTAGTAGCTTATTGATGTGTAGTGTTACCTTGAGAAAAAACTACGGGATGAGCTTCCAAGGACAAGTCTCTCTATCCAATTCCGAGTAACTTCTTCAGCTATTGCGGCTGCCACATTATTTGATTCGACCACAAGAACTTCTACTTCAACCTTTAGTTCAAGGTAAAAAAAAAAAAATAGGTGTTGATCTTAGTATAGAAACCAAAACATAAGATATCTTGTAACAGTATCAGAATTTAAGTTGAGGCTCTTATCATTTCGATATTATTGTCTTCCAACATAAAATCAATTGTTCGAAAAAACATTGGTCTAATTAGTTCTCTATATATTAGTTCATTAATTTTCTAACTAACTAAGGATGTGGACTTCATTTATACATAAACATATGTTGTGAGCAAACGCGAATCAACCCAAAAAAAACAAAGAGAGCAAAATGAATTGAGGTAAATATATGTTTAAGGTTTATATATATTTATTTTGAATTAATAACTTTACAATTTCTTAGACCCATAATTATAGTAGTCTCAAAACCCGATTTCTTTTTCCCTATATGAATACATATTTATCTATAAAAAGTAAAATTTCTCAAACCAAAAAGGTATACTGGTGCACAAAGATTTAAGACACATCCAGATGTAACAACATATATCAAAGACAATACCTTTCTCTGCTCGACCATTTTCTTGAAAGGTGCAAGCACTAGTTCAGACTGGCACAGCATTTCCTGTCTGTATGCAGTTGCCACATCCTCTCGTACCTCGGAAATAGGAATTGTATTTCCCACTTGAGAAATTGGACATCAGTTACAAAAGTCCGGAGTGCAAGAAAGAAACAGAAGTAGAAGTCTAAGTTGGAGCTTTACTTGGTGTGGGTACAGAAGTAATCCTTGGATGGATGTGAAGTAGCTTGAAGCCAACATTTCCTTCAGAAGCAAATTTTTCGAGGGCCCATGTAACTACATATTTGCTTTTCCTGCTCCCACTAAGAGCCACATAGACGGTATGAGAAGGAGGAGAAGTAGGAGGAGGAGAAAGGGCACGACGTTCCGGTGTTCTACTCATTTTCTTTTTTTGTTTTCTTCTTGTTGCGTTTTACCCTATCACTCCAACCATTTTAGACATTGCCACAGACGATATAGTAAACAGAACATTTTGTTCATAAAACACGAACAAAAATAGACAAGATCTTGAGTTTAATAGTCAAATGTCTTAGAATCTAATTTAGAAAGGGTCAGAAAGCAACACCAAAAAAACCATAGAACCTAAACAGAAACTTTCCAAGAAAAAGGTAAGCTCTAACAACAATGCAACACCAAACAACTATGAAACATTAATTAAACAAGTCAATCTTAGAGGGTAAAATAGGGAACCTAGAAACTGAACCTACCTGAATAGATGACGACACTTTAGTCAGAACCCAAGGCAGATATGGGCAGAAAGAAAACAAAAGAGGAGCTAAAGAAGGAGAAGAAGAAGACCCACGTTCATGCTGGCAATCTCGGATACAATCAATGGCTTCTTATAATCACAGAATCTTATGTCGAAAACAATTGTTGAGAAAGGGAAAATGAGCAACTTGGTAGTGTTTTTATCGTCAAAGGGATCACTCCTGGTATATACTCTTTTGTTCTCGCCAGAAATTTTATTATTAATTATAGTGACAGAGGCGAGTGTAGATTGAAAGAATGAAGTTTCTGTGACGTTAAGAGCATTCACCATTAATTTTATCATGTTTTCCGTCTTAATTCTTATTTGTTATTTTATCTTAGTTAATGAAAATTAATTCCTCAACGCCAATATAAAATATTGTACTATTGTTATTTTATTTGTTTGCTCTTAGTTGAACGCATGAAACTATACCTTCCTCACGTCTTTTCTGCCTCCTCTTTATGCATAAATTTATGTAGAAAGATAAGAAACTATGTTTAGTGTGGCACCTCGTGTGCTGCGGTAAGTGTTATAAATTGCCAACGTTTTTTAAATGTCGACTTTATATTAACTGGTCGTTTGTTTTATTACAACAAATATTTGCAATCTTCACATATGTGTTATGAACACGCTGTCTCTATCGAAGTTATTATTTCCATTAGATGATGATCAGTGAAGTCCATCTTTGGTTTGGACTTTGGAGACGAGCAAATACTACTCCGGTTTTTTTATCAACAAAAAATACTACTCTAGTGAAATAAAACAAAATTTATATAGTACTGGTTACATAATAAGCCCCTTCCTAGGAAACATATATTAATTACGGGAGATTTTATAGGCAAATATACACCCTCGCCATTATACAAGAGATAGCTTTTGTTGCCGACCTTTTCTAACAAAATAATAACATCGACGTTCGTTACTATTTGTTTTCTATAAATAAAAATATTTTTTATATTTATAATAGTATAGTGCTTGGTCCACGGTGTAGTAGAATCTAAAGCAAGCTTATTCATGCTCAAAGAGATTATTAAGAAGGATAGAAAAGAATAACAGCTCACAAAGATTTATTTAGAAGTGATAATAAAAGAGAAATGAAGATGTTTGTGATTTGTCACCAAAAAACGAATTGATCTCATAATAAGGGTTAGAAGAAGGCTTCTATTAGCGGGAACATGGACCTTTAAGCTACTGATCTCCTCCACCTTTGAGTTTATAAAATAAGAGGTTACAGAGTAAGCCCCTTCCTAGGAAACATATATTAATTAGGATAGCTTATATAGGCAAATATACACAAGAGATAGTTTTTGTTGCCGACCTTTCCTAACAAAAATATTAACATCGACATCGTTACTATTTGTTTTCAATAAAAAAAATTGTAATGGTATGGTGCTGGGCCCACGGTGTAGTAAAATCAAACGCAAGCTTATTCATGCCAAAGAGTAATGAGAAGGATATAAAACAATAATAGAGAAATTAAGGAAGATGCTTGTATTTTGTCACCAAAAAACTAAAGGTTTGATTGATCTCATAGTAAGGTTTAGAAGAAGGCTTCTCTTAGTGGCAAGACTAAATGCAAAGCATAACAACTATATTTATAGGAAACTAGATGCAAAGAAAACTCTAAACTCTTGAGTTTGTTAACATTTCTGAAGCATTGGAATTCTTCTCTGCCCCATTACATTGGGTTCTAAAACACTGGCATGCTGTTTTAACATGTAACCAAGTCTTTGGTTCTCATAAATATTTTAGTCATACTAACACAATAAATCAAGAAAGCCATAAATATATGAAGTGGTAATTTGCGCTTCCATTACACAGTATCTTACAGAGTCAATATAACCAAAAACAGCCTAGGTCAGGTTTTATCAGGTGTTCGAATATGATCTACTCCCTAGTCAAATTGATTGGATATATTTGTTTAATATAGCAGGAATATATCTTTTGGTTATTGTAACTTAATGTAGCAATCTTTTTAATGAAAGTTAATATAGTAATCAGCAACTTGAGTGTGTTTAAAAAAAAATCAGCAACTTGAGTTAAAATAGACCTAACAGTTATTGAAATTTTTGTTGGTCTATTTCTGACCGATTTGGTTATCTAGTCTGATTTCTCAGGCGTCCTAGATAGTCTGGTTTATACAAATAGCATGATGATGCAAAATAATATACAGGAAAACTCAATAAATTAATAATGTTAAGGTTATGATAACTTATAAAAAATTTTTTTATAAGAATCATTTAGAAAACATTATATTTTTAAAAAAAAAATTATTAAAAGGAAATAATAGATTTTCATGATATTATATATTATCTAAATTTTTCAATATAAATTCATCTATGTTACTTAGATTATTTAATATATTTTGTATGTTGAATAAGTATGATACAATACAAAACCGTCTTATCTGATAAAATTAACACTAAAATATTGAAAATAAATTTAAAATCAGAGGTGAAATTTTATTTTGATCACAAATAAACACCAAAATGCTTTGCTTACATATATTTATATGAATATTTTTTTATATATGATAGTTATTATATAATGAATTTAATGAGATCATATACTTGGATAAAAGTTTTCGACAAATTGTTATCATATCGAATTATCATATTTTACACTTGTCTAACTTAAAACCGAATAAATTTGTTAACTTATTTATCGAATGTTAATATAAAGTTTCTACTGTAACAACTGCTATTAGATTTGAGAGTATTAATTATAGGGTTTCTACTGTAACAATTGCTAGTATTAAATTTGGAAAGTATATATCATTATAAGGCTTTTGTCCTACTGTGAACCGAACCATCTATTTTTCTTTTCTTGATTCCATAAGCTCAGATTTCTGTCTTGTTCTGTAAGTATTCTTGAATTCTAAATGCTGGAGAGTGAACTATGTTGAAAATCCAGTATTCTTTTAATTTGATGTTAACTGGTCATTTCGTTGTGTCACAGAGGGTACAGGATGAATTAAGACCATCCACATCAATGAACCCCCTCTTGGGGTTCATTGAATCATTTTTTTATTATTAAATTTTTATTTTTTTTTCATTTTTAAAAAAAAAAAATCAAAAAAAAAATCTAGACCAATTCCGAGCTGCCACGTGTTGAACCTCAGGAGAGAGGGGTTCACCGGGATGAACATTAGGAGAGAGGATTCATAGGTTTTTGTTATTTTATTATTTTTTTTCTTGATTTCCGTGTGAACTCTCTCCATGAACCTTCAATGGGGTGCTCTAAGGCTTTTTAATTTTTTTGCAGTGAATGGTAATATTATTGCCATCTGACAAAGCAAGAAGGCACAAATAATGGTTTGTAAGATCACGATCAAAGATTGGTCTAAAGTTAGAGAATCTAATTTTACTGCTACTCTCTTCACATGTTTTAGAAAAACCCTCACTTGTATGTTACATATCTGAGGCAGAGTTATAAAGACACAATCACTTCTGAAACCTACATACGCATATGCCCTTCGTTTCCAGCGACCAAACATCATCTAGATCTTTATAAAAAATGGTATCCCTATTCAGTGCGTTCGTTATATAAACTAGAGTCACCAGTTAGCCCATTAATGTATAACGTAATTAACATTTAGTTACACATCCCAGCTATTTAGTTACTAGAGAAACGCTATCATCAATATTGCAAAGATTTTCTCTCTTCTTTAGTCTTCTGGAGAACATGGACCTTTAAGCTACTCTCCTCCACCTGTTGAAAACAAAAAGAAGCCACTTTAGGTTTTGGTTCAAACCAAACCACTTCGGACCGATCGATGACTACTCCAATCACTCAAGTAATCGATTAAACCGGACGGTCAAACATAAATAATGCAAGATTAGTAGATAATTTACCGCAAGCACAGGAACAAAGAAAAGAGTCTTCTCCAACTCTTCAAAATATAATAATTCTTGTTTGAACATGCTGAGCAACTCTGTCATCTCATATAGGATTATTTCAACCTGCTGATATTTAATCACCCAAACATTCTTAATCTAATTCCTTATTCAATGTATAAATAGAAAAATAGAAATATATCTATAAATAAACAAAGTGAAATAATTACTCGTGGGAGAAACTTGATGACCATGTCTTCGATCTCATCCATGACTTCTATGGCTGTGACCATTTCTTCATGTATGGACACCACATCTACCTGTAACTTCCACACTAATTATTTTGGCTTCTTAACAAAACGTACATTCTTTTACCCTTTGTTAATAACAAAAGGTTGCTATCTTATAGATATTGTATAGAAAGTAAATATTTATCCTTACCGTTGCACCATGTAGGAGTGGTAAACGGACAGACAAAGCGTGCAGTTTTCGAGTTAGCTTACTCAACGCTTCCAAGTTTTTCGCATCGAGTTTGGACCACTCATTGAGTAAAGGCATTTGGAGGCTCAGAACTTGACGTAATTTAATTTCTTGACGTAGCCTTTGGACTTCAATTAAATTTTCCACCACGTAGTTCCTCAGTTTGTATATCCTAAGCCAGACCCAAAACAATTGATCCTAAAATAATTCACACAAAACACATTACCTTTTCTATTCGATGCATATATATATACATTTTGATTATAAATTCACAAATAATAGTAACAGTTTTGTATATACCTCAACGTTGACCTTAAGTTTAGCCATAGCAGCTTCTGTTCTTGCGTTAATAAACCTTAACTGAACTAATCTATTGTGGAGAAGCCTAAACCGGTGATACTCCTCCTCTTGAACCAAAGATACTTTCTTCTGTGCCTTAAAGTATTTCAAAACTCCCGCCACGGCTCCACGGCCACTGCTTCTCATCTTAGCCGCGCTTACCGGTGACTCAGGAGGCGTGTGGCACATATTAGTGGCTGGAGCTGAACTTGATAAAGAATTTCTCGTCGTGGAAGCTCTCCCCTGGGACATTGCCCATGCAGATGGTGAGCTAGCTCCAGGTTTTACACTTGATGCGTTAGTACGTGGACTGCCACGCTCACGATTCTCTAAGTACCGAGCAAACGCCTCTCTGGTTCTACCGTTGTTCACCTCTCGAGATCTTGACTCGCTGTTTCTCGCCGGGATCATCTCGGTGGATCCGGTGGCTATGGAAGATCTTGTTGTGGATTGTGATCTTCTTATCGTCACACGTTTGCTTGTCTTGGAAGGAGAAGAGGAAGAAGAGGATGAACAAGAAGAGGATAGTGAGGCATTTAAAGACACTGGAAGAGAGATCGAGGAGGATTTAGTCCTGCTCCGGTTAATATTCGGCGACGGTGACTGAACTCTGCGACCAGTGGAGGTGGTGGTGGTTGACATTTTCTTTGATATGGTTCTTTGATTTTCTTACAGTTGATTGATCATGCAAGACTTATATATTTAAGTCGGACTATATAACATATTATTAGGGTTTGTAATAACGCTTGGGGGTTCGTAGGAGTTGACAGCACGTTAAAGAGGCAAATAAGAACACTTCTACATACTCAAATCTATTGTAAATTAGAGTGTATTTGGTATTTTTAGAGAGAAACTATAATATATGTAATGTCAAACCATAGCTTAGCTAGAGGCACGTCTTCGTCTGATTTTTTTTTTCTCTAGCTGTGTGTGTTTTGCAGTCAAATTAGACAAAGGGACGACGCTGAAATGTATAAAGATTATCTTTGATTTGTAATAAATTATTATTATTATTTTTTTTGTAACACAATTTTTAATTAATTAAACAACATGGTGGTCAAATTAAATAGAAACATAAACGTCCAATCGAAAATGTCCCCAAGGGATCTAGTCTAAATTGAATATATCAAATCTTAAGTAGCGTCAAACTCTCTTACTAGAAAAAGAAAAAACAAACAACTTCAAACTTTTAACCTCCACGAATACTAATCTGCCGGCTATAGAACTCTCTCAAAACCTTAAACTCTCAAATCTATCATATGGGATGTCACACCCCAACATCTCCTTATATATTGGCGTAAATATCCTAGATTCACCAGGATTATCTCAAACATATATATCCTAATCCTATAAGATAAACACAACACCTTATAGATAACTATAACACCTTAGGATTAGGTTGCTTGTTGCTTAAGCTATTTCAAGCTTAATCCAACATTCTCCCCTTTAAGCTTGAAACCCTTTGATGTCAACTCTACCATGCCAATGTAGTCTCTCATTTCCTTGAACCTGATCCTTCCTAAAGCCTTTGTCAAGATATCAGCCTTTTGCTTGTCTCCGGGCACATGTTCCACTTCTACTTGTCCATTCTCAACGCATTCTCTTATAAAATGGTACCTCTTGTGTATATGCTTACTTCTTCCGTGAAAGACCGGGTTTCTTGTTAATGCAATTGCTGATTGATTGTCAATGCAAATCACTACCTTCTCACGCGGCTCCCCTGTTACCTCACTCAACACGTCTTGTAACCAAATTGCTTGTCTAGCAGCTTCAGTTCCAGCCATAAACTCAGCCTCACATGATGACAAAGCCACAGTGTCCTGTTTTTGTGAGCACCAAGATATGGGACTTTCTCCAAGATAGAATATATGGCCGGTTGTGCTCCTTCCATCATCTGGATCTTCATTGTGAGAGCTATCACTGTACCCAATAAGTCTTGGAACTCTGTTCGTTGATCGCTCACATGATAATCCATAGTCAAGACTTCCTCGTAGGTACCTCAGAGCTTGTTTCATAGCTGCTCCATGCGACTCTCTAGGGCTTTGCATATACCTGCTTAGTACTCCTACATAGAAAGATAAGTCTGGTCTTGTGTGAAGTAAGTAACGTAAGCATCCAACGTTCTTTCTGTATCTTGTTGCATCTATCTCCTTTTCACTCTCTGCTTTTGATAGTTTCAACCCAAGTTCCATCGGTGTTTGGCAAGAATTACATTTGTCCATCCCATCTTCTTCTAGTATCTTTGTTGCATAACTCTTCTGATTAAGAGTTATTCCAGCTTCATGTTGCAGAACTTCTATCCCAAGGTAGTATGTTAGCTTTCCTAAATCACTCATGTCAAACTTGCTCGCCATGTTGTTTTTGAATTCCTCTATCATTCTTGCGTTTGTTCCTGTGACAAACAAGTCATCTACGTACACGCCAATCACAAGTAAATCTCCATTAGCTCTCTTATGGTAGACAGAAGGTTCCTTTGAGCATTTTTGAAACTGTAACTCGCATAGAATCTGATTCAGTTTGTTGTTCCAAGCTCTAGGCGCCTGTCTTAGTCCATAGAGTGCTTTGTGTAGTTTGTACACCTTGTTTTCTTCCCCCTTCCTTTCAAAACCCTCAGGTTGTGTAACATATACTGTTTCCTTTAGTTCTCCGTGCAAGAAGGCAGTTTTAACATCTAGATGATGCACTTCCCATCCATAAGCAGCAGCAAGATTAACAAGAAGACGTATTGTTTCAATTCTTGCCACTGGAGCGAAGACCTCATCAAAATCGATTCCATGACGTTGTACATACCCTTTTGCCACTAGTCTAGACTTGTATTTGTTGATGCTTCCGTCTGCATTGCGTTTGATTTTGAAAACCCACTTCAAGCCTATTGGTTTTGCTCCATAAGGAAGGTCAACGAGACTCCATGTTGCATTCTTCTCTATTGATTCTAACTCATCCTCACACGCTTGTGTCCACTCCTTTGACTCCCTAGCTTCCTTGAAATTTCTTGGTTCATTGTTGAGGTACATAAGTATATCTTCTCCAAGTTCCTCGGCTAATAAGACATAATCATCAAGATACTTGGGCTTCACGTGTACTCTTTCTGATCTCCTCAGGTCCTGAGGTTCTATTTCACTGTCCTCTGTTTCTCTTGTAGCATCTTCTCTCAACTCATCTACTTTAGGTTCTTGAGTACTGACTTCATGTTCAGTGCATCTTGAATCTGTTTCGTTGATTATGCCATGGTTCCCAAACTCACCAAGTGTAACCACAAAACTGTCTGACTTGTTTGTGCTCTCTTTATCCCAATTCCAGCCTTTCCTTTCATCAAAAATAACATCTCGGGATACTACAATCCTCTGTGTAATGGGATTGAGAAGCCTATATGCCTTTGATCCCGGTTCTATTCCCAAGTGAACTAACATCTGTGTACGATCATCAAGCTTCTTTAGCAACTTTGTTTCTATCTTCGCATAGGCAATGCACCCAAATACTCTGATGTGATCAATTCTTGGTTTCTTATCCCGATACATCTCATAGGGTGTCCTTTCTTTCAAAGCTCTCGTTGCTACACGGTTTAATAGATACGTCGAGTGTCTTATTGCCTCTCCCCACAATCTATTTGGCACGTGCATATGCTTCATAATGCTTCTTGTCATCTCTAGTAGGGTTCTATTCCTTCTCTCTACCACCCCATTCTGTTGGGGTGTATACGGAGCAGTGAGGTGTCTCATTATTCCAACTCTGCTGCAGTATTCGTTGAATTCTTTTGACAAGAATTCTCCACCTCTGTCTGTCCTAAACGTGATGATCTTCTTTCCTGTCTCTTGTTCTATTGTATCTCGTAGTCTTTTGAACTTAGGAAAAGCTTCACTTTTTTCTTTCAGTAGCATACTCCACATATAACGGCTATGGTCATCGATGATAACAAATATGTATTTGTTACCTGCAGGTGTGCTTGGACTTATAGGTCCACACAGATCTCCGTGCAACAGCTCCAGTGTTCTACTAGCTCGATATAATGTAGCTTTAGGAAACACTTTTCTTGCTTGCTTACCAAGTAAACAAGAACCACATACTTCCTTCGCAATACTCATCTTTGGGAGGCCAATCACCAGTTCCTTTTCCATCATTCCCTTCAAAGATTCAAAGTTAATATGGCCTAAACGTGAGTGCCATCTTCTAGATTCATTCTCTGTTTCAGCATGTAGACACTTGATCGGTTTTAAACCCATATGAACC